GCTGCTGTTTATTTTAGTTTTTCGCGAGGACTGAGATAGTGTAAGCTTCCTCTACAGGGGTAGTATTTGAATTCTTTTAGTTGTTATTTTATCAGATCAGGCACGGACATCTGCAGTAATTGAGCAGTTGAAAGGAAGACTTTGTGTAGCGACCCTTGGAATGCATCCTTAATTGATTGATTTCAGTGTTTTATTTTCTGGGCAAGGATATGCATGCGAAACAGGAGCTGAATCCGTCGAATCCTGATTACTGTGATGTTAAAGGCTATGACATTTTTACGTATTCCTCATTTTTGGAAACATTTATTACTCTGTTTCGCGCAAGCATGGGCGGTTATGATGTAAGATGTAGCACAGTATTTTTAAAAACACCACTCCGTGTGTACCATTCTCTCACAGTGGCATATCTTGGTGCAAATACAGGCAGAGGCAATTTACCAGCTTTGGAGAGTTGATTCAAAAAGCTAATTGGTCTGGGAAGGGAGAACAAATACACCACTGAAGTGCGAATTCTTGCTACTGTAATAAATCAGGTAAACAAAGGTATGAAACTGATAAAAAATTTGCGACGCCAATTTAATACAGTGCCTCCCCGCTGCGTAATCTAGACGTACTGCTACGCGTATGTATGGCTCAGAACATAAGATGCGAACAGAGATGGCAGTGTTCAGCCCTACGGACGTCAGAAATGTAGCGTAACGTGAGCAATCTTTGTAGCCTTGCGTACTAGGCAGATTTACACTTGTAAATGGATGTGAATGAGCAACAAGATGATTCCAGTACGAGGAATTTTCGTGCGCAAATTACGAGGTATTAACAAAAATATTGTTTGTGCTATACATGTTTATAATGCCAATTATGATGATCAATATATTAATCGCCATGATGGGTAACACGTATACAACGGTTATTGCACAAGCAGAAAAAGCTTGGAGGCAACAGGTTTGTTTCAGTACTACGGAATTCGGTGAATTGCTGCTAAAATTTTTGGGAAAGTGCAAACCAAATGACAACAGTTTGCAGTACGCACAAATAGTGATGGTGCTGGAGCGATCGGTGAGGAAGGAGAAGCTGGCTGCATGTCAGCTGGAATACAGCATTCGACTCAACGAAACGAATGATGCCGGAATGGAGATACGTGGCCTCATGGTTATCAAACAGACCAAGAAGACCCGAGCCCGACAAAGGAAGCAAGCAATCACAAACTGGAAGGTCAACTCTTTTCACTTATTTCGGCTATAGAGGCATTTTTATGCATTTTTAACACCCATGCAATATAACAACGCATTTTGTGGAGAGGCAGTCAGTGCTTATGCTCATGTGTCTGTATGCTTGCATTCCTATTTCTGTGTCTACGCCGGCACCCGTCTGCATATTTCGATCTCCAGATCTACAAAAGCTAAGAAGCTGAAATCTGTGCAAATTAGTCTATCTCTATGTGTAAGTTCCATATTGCAAAATGAACGTTAACGTTCTCTCACTCCATAAGTACGAACACGTGAAATATTTTTTTAGCGGGGAAACGACTTTGGAAACCAGGTAAGCTAGATTGTTGACTCTGCTCAAGTATAACTCCAAGAATTTAAATTAAGTTTTTATGTACACGCAGATCTCATGTATAGAATGTGAGAACTCAAATTAGCACCGTGTCAGCGCGAGAATTAGGCCAAGTAGGAAGCTGTAATGTCACAGTGCCATATTTGTCCGAAAATTTGAGCTGTGACGTTCCCCTACATTTCACGTACGAACGCACGGAATTTGAGTTAACAGTTCTGTAATCCGCAGCAAAAGAAGCTGAAATACTGAGACCCTTTAAGGGTAGTGTACACATGTTTGAGCAGGTGCACGTAGAAGCGGTTTCCACAGCAATTGTGTATTTTTCGCACTGACGCTAACCGTAACTCTGCAACTAAACTTTCTGAGCATGGCCCACGACCTTGTTTGGCGGTTACAGGTGGAAAGGACATTCACGTCCCTCTATATCCCGTGTACGGATGTTTCATTTGGCGCTGTCAGTTCTGCAACTCCACATACACAGCAGCTAGAGTGCTTGCGTACATTGGTTCAAACTGGTTCTCGAAGCCGCTTTCTCACCAAGAAATCTGCATAACCTAGGCGTACATAAAAACCCAAGTTGAAAGA